CTAGGATTTTATTCGCCTTGCTGTTGAAAAGAAACATTCGCCAGAAGCACTTGTTGCAAGGTTGACGTGAATCAGAACACAGATCTGTATCATCTCACTGATCATACTTGTATCAGCAGAATTAACATTTTTAATCACTTTCAAAATGTCCAAAAAATATTCTAGTTTTTCTCTGTCCATTAAAATTTTGAAAACATCTGGTTGTAGAATCAGATATTCCATCCTTATGTCATTGAATGACATGGGTCCGCGGCAAAGCAAAACAAAGCTGTTTTGCGTGGAATAAAAGCTTAAAAAAGTGAAAACAAAACCACAAACAAAACAAGTGAGTTTCTTTTCTAAACTTCTTCTCTTTAAATTGTTATAAGGATTTTTTAAGGGCAATTGTGGCAAACTTATTGAGGGGCATGTGCCCCCCCTGGCCCCCTCCAGCTCCGCAATCCCTGATCACACTTCTGAAGTGACCACAGGGGAACCAGACTCACAACAGCCTACTGGAAGCCAAAAAGATCAATAATTTTGATATACCGGTGATGTATAGCAATTATTATTCACCGAAGTGGAGGTGGCTAGTAGTGGTATTTTACCGAGGGCTTGAAGCGGCGAGGTAAATATCCGGTACTAGCCACCGACACTGAGGTGAATAATTGTTTTAGTATATGCTCAAACAGTGAGATAATTGAGCGCAAAAATGATGATTTTTAACTCGTTTACTGTTCCCAATGATTACAGTTTTGGCGCACGATGACCGAACGGCCGTGGTCGTCACTTTTTCTTGGCGACAAATAAAAAACCTTTCAATGCGTTTGTTTAGCTCTTGCGGGGAAGTTTCTTCAAGAGGAGTTGTGAATTCTTTTGTATTTAAAATCATTCTGTAAAAAAGATTATTAAATTTAGTTTTAAGCTTATTTATGAACAAGTCAACTAAATAAAGTAATGCAAGACTTAAGCTTAATTTGCATTTGTAAACAAAAAACTTTTTCACCAGTTTTATCGATACATTCAAGTCAAAAAGACAAAGCTTTACCTGTTAAAACTTCCAAACCGAGCTTCGTCACCTTCTTCATGTATTTTAGGAATAGCTTGCTTGATTAGTTGTGAAATTTCTTAGTTTGTTATGGCAGCAGACCGGGAAAGCATTTTGCTCGCAACTTACGCGAGTTTGGTGTCGCTCCCTCAGAGGAACTGGAGGTGAATCAGTGAATAGTGCAGGATATTCACTGATTGAGTAGCCAATCAGAGCATGTGAAAACACTATCCACTGTTTTAGTATATACTGAATAGATTTAGTCAGGACTAAAAAGCGAAGCACTCAATAATATTTATAGTTTGTTCAAACAAAATATAACATTGTGTAATGCTAAGCGGCAAAGGCAGCGCCAGAGAACGGTGATAGGGACAACAATAGGTCTGATTAGCAAAAAAGCAACTTTGCTCATGCAGCACACTTTTTTTGTACATTTCTTTGCCGTTGTTTTGCATGACTACAACGTGACACTTCCAGAAACTTCTTAGTTACACTTAATGGAGGAAATGGTGTACGTGTTCTTACAAGTTCACTTTTTTTCACTGCCCCTCATGTTCACCTTGCATCTGCTTGTTGGCTGCCAGCATTTCTCATTTTGTCACCGCCAGTACAAAATTTTATGTTCTTCAAAAAAAAAATTTTTTATCCGTCACTCTAGATCTCTGTCGCCCTTTTTCTCATTGACCCTCGCTGGCCTGCCACCTAATTTCTCTTGCTCTATATTCCAAATTTGTGGACATGACAGTTAATCTAAGCTTAATACTTTAGACAACACGGGTACAGAAACAATGTCAGCTTTCTGTTTTCATCTTTATTGACTGTTTAGTTGTCTCTGCTTTACAAGACGCCGGTGGCTATGTGATTTCCCGCCAACGTAACCTCGAGTTGCATTTCGGTTCCTATACCTGTTGATTGAATTATTTTTACATTGGTTTGCCTGTAGTGCGGATGGATGGTCTAGCAGGTGTACGGTCACGTGATTACCAAATTTTCTTGGATGGGTAGATTACTTCATTTTCTTACCCATGGTGGTCAGCTTCGTGTGCTTTGTGTGCAAGAGCTCCGTGATTAAAATTCATACTTGGCTACGAGGCTTGGGGGAGTAAAACAAAAGAAACCATCTTGAGACTCAGCAGTGAATAATACATTTCTTTTGGCCTCGGAGCCAAGTGTAAATTTTAATATATGGAAAAAAATATATCGTAAGATAGGTGAAATGGTTAATATGTACACCAACAGCTTTTAAAGTGAAATGAATTGCATTTATTCTCTAACTTTGTCTTTATTTTTGATGTGTCATGTTCTTGATATAAAAAACACATTTGGTACATGCATCTGATCTAAACACATTCTGTTAAGCTCAACATATAATCATGGTTCTTATCTTATACATGTATAAAACAGCTGTAGTACTTCTCTACTTTAAATGTTTTTCATGTCTTGCATTTTTTTCTTTACATTACGAAATGCCAACCACCTTAACGGTGTAAGTTTTAGATTATTGCGACATACATGTACCTTATGTGCTGTACAGGATTACATTATGTTCTCTTTGTACTCTATTAAGTTTCAGTTAATTTTATATCACTGCAAAGATGGAAACTGGTCTTTTTTCAGCCGTGAAATTGCACAAGTATAGCTTGTATGTAAACAAGAAAGACACTAATGGAAATATTCTTTGTTCTTTAACAACAACAACAACAACGACAATGTATTTATTTAAAGAAATATAAAGTTTACAATACTTTGTCCTGCAAATAGCTATAATGCTTATCTAGGCAGGACAAGACTTTAAATAAAGATGTTATTAAATTACATAAGAAAAAAGAAAGAAAAAGAAATACAAAAACATACAGAAAGAAACAGCTTACATATAAATTCAAGAACAGGGGATTTTTTTATTTGAAAAAGACTAAAATTACAATTAGAGGTATATACAACATATAAGGTTAACTTCACAAAATAATTATTCTCTGAAATAATTAACATTCAAATAATTATCTTCATTACCTAGAACATTAAGGAGTAGTGATTTAATCTTTTTACGAAAATTAGATATGTTGAGAGTCTTAACAGAAAGTGGAATAGAATTCCAGATAGACACACCAATTCTAGTAAAAGATTTTTTCATTTTTTCAGTTCTAGAGAATTTGACAGAGAAACATTCTTTTGCAGATAATCGCGTATTATAATGATGTTTTGTATTGATTTTCACAAACTTATCGAGAAGACTTTTAGGAGCTGTCTTGGCATGAGCGTCATACATTAAATAGCTTAACTGTTGAAAGAACAAAGACTGCAAAGAAAGGCAGTTTGATTCAATAAAAAAGGGATTGCGCGGTCTCTGGGTTTAGAAAAATAAATCAAACTCGATATATATAGTTTTCATTTATAAAAAAGACCAACACCACCGGCAGACAACAGGGTTTTAACAAATTCAAAGCAATAGCGAAGTAGTTGTGATATAAAATCAATAGATTTGCCTTCGCCTAATCATGTTTCTGTTACACCTAATACCGTGAAACTATGTTTTACCTCACTGAGTACATGACTTCGATAATGGCTGTCAGACCTTCGGCTATTCACTCTATGAGCGATATCAATGTCGTTTTTCGTCACTCCCTTGGCTCCGATAGCATGGAAAAGTTTTAAACACAACTGTGTGGTGGTTTCAGCAGACTCATGCTCATCTTCAGGAAAGCCAATAATGTTAACGTTGTACTGAAAGCTGTACTTCTGTAAGTCATCAATGGCGGCATCCAAACTGTCAACTCTTGTAGAAATTGCTTCAAGCTTATGGCTTAGATTGTCAAGTTCTTTCGATATATTCTCTCGAAAGTTTTTTGTTATTATGGTGGTCCTCATATAAGAAATCAACACTCTTTTGGATACTGTTTCTATATCTTGTTGCAGCGTCTCCAACCTGCTTGATGTCCGCTTGAAGTCCTTGTTGCTCGATGATCAATTTCAGCTTCTGGAGTTCACTATTTACAGCTGAAATCTCTCCCTTTGGTTTAAGGCTTTCCTTCTGTAGATTTTAAACTCGACTCATTCTAGTTTACGATATAAGGCATTGGTACGTTTTGAGTTTTAAACCGGCATGTGCGGAACGCCCGCCAACATGACCGGTCGGTCGTTTGTTAAAAGCTAAAGCCAAGTACATGGAACTATTTACACTTTGACTGAATAATCCTCTGTTCCTCGTCTGTATTGTAACAGCGTTGTATCAAAACGACCAGTAACTGAAAAAATTATTGCTGAAGCCACTCTCAAAATTTTTTTGGTTTTTTTTTATCAGCATGTCAATATCTTTTTGTAAATGATGGCAATCAGGCAACAACAGCTTCTTGCTAAGAGTATAGATTTCTGGGAGAAGACAAGTTATAGTAAATTGTATAAATATTAAAATAATTGAAGTTAATTTCTTCATCAGTAGGGGCTATGATTTTAGGCCAGATTATGGAAAGCTGGAGACCATTGCTTCTGTATTCCCAAGTAAGCCTTTTATTGCTGTTACTGCAACTGCTCCAGTACCATATCAAGATGCAGTATTATAGAAAAGTTTGCTATGCAAAATCCATTGAAGGTTCTAGAGAACCCAAATAGATCCAATATATGTTACGAGATAAAGCAGAGACCACCAGCTATCTAGGAAAGCAATGAGGACCAATTTGAAAAGCTTATGACTAATTTAGACTATGAATTGAAAGAAATAAAGAACAAATTTCTATTAACGATTATTGACACTTCTCTTCACCTCTGTGGTTTTGGGTACAATTTGCTTGAACAACAAGTTGTTGATGATCAATATTTTCCTTCCGGATATTAGCATGTACCCAATAACAGATCGTTCTGCACAATCTCATTAAAGCAAAAAAATGAAGGAGGAAATTATAATTATTATAAGATGTGACAGGTGAAAATCCTGTTGAAAGACTATTGCTAGTCACTATTGCATTAGGAATGGGCATAGACCCACCATGTCTTGGGGGGATCATTCATCTTGGGGTTCCAAGAAAAATGGAACAGTACCAGCAAGAAACTGGTGGGGCAGGAAGGAATGGTAATTTTGCCACAGCAACCATGTATTATAACAGCATTGACATTGCAGCTAATCTAGAAGCGATGGATGACAGCATAAGGAATGTCTGCTTTAACAAAAAGTTGAAATGTTGCCAGGAAATGACATTGAATTACTTAAACCTTTTTTAAACTGAGATGCTCAGCCTCTCCACTTGTGCTGTAGCATTTGCCTCTTGTCAGGCTCCCTGACCCAGGTTACTTCAGATGAAGCTAGAACATCAGTGGATGAGGGTCATCACATAGCACCATTGATTTCTGTTCTTCAAAAGTAGGAAATCAGAAAACATTTAGTGGATTATGAAAAAAAGTCTTAGCAAAGACTCCCGATTTGGATCAAGACCTGCAACAGGTTTTACTGATGATTTAGTTGAAATGGTTTGTCAGAAAGCAGAGTTGTTAGTGTCAAGGGAGGCAGTTCAACAGCACTTGCCTGTTTGGAAAGATTCACACACAGGCAGTATTAACTTTGTGAATCACATTTTTAAATTTATTATTCTGAGTACAATGTTTTTAATAAACCCTCTTTGAATGGCCACCCCTTATAATTTAATTAATTATGTACATTGGAGTCAATTCCTAGTATACGTAAATATACTTTGCTGTGTTATCTGTCTTTGTAACTCTGTGGAAACCCTGCACCAGTTTTAAATGTATTTGAAATATTTATGTATGAAAGATAATTTTTTCAGTTATAAATACATTCATCTCTTAAAGTCAGAAAGGATTAAATATTGTTAAAAAACAAACAAGCAAACAAACAAGTACTCATGTACATGTATATGTCAACAGGGAACTGAACTTACATTTACCACAGTTACAGATGATCATTCTTATTACTCATGATCTGATTGATCCAATTCCTCTACATTCCAATTTGTCATGCGTCTTTTGTGTTTGTCAACCATTGGAGAAAGGCTGGCCAGTCATTGGAAAGAGGTTGACTACTCTTGATAATTATCACTAAAAGAGGCATGGCTTTGAAGGGCTTTGGAATTTCGAGATTGTGGACCATGCAGAGCTCATTGCCAACAGCTGTTTTCCTGGAATGAGCAGTGGAGTTAGGTTCTTAAAGCACTTGTCTTATGAGTGACATTCATGTATCCACTGCACCCCTCTCTTTGAGCTTGTTGGTCTTTGCACTGCCCTCTGGGTTTTGTTTGTACTCATGCTATTGAGAAGGATCATGGTCCCCTTGATGATTTTTAACTCGCTTGTGCTGCCATTTGCTTGGTTAAGTGTACATGTACATCTGACGTGTTACAAATTGCATTGATTCAATTGCATACTTTGAACAGTTGCTCTTTGCCCTAACCCTCTACAGCCCAAATTTATTTTAGAATTTATTTAAGTTTTCCAATGCTAAAATAACTAAAAACATTAAAATATTGAGATTTAAAGCTACGATTACCAAATGTTGAAAGAAACATCACTAATAGCTAGACTTTACACTGCAGTGTTCAGAAAAATGTTTGATGTTGATTGACACCTGTCATGATGATATGTCAGAAAAAACGCAAACCCTTAAAGATGAGTAGCACAGTCACCACTACATTTTCTGTAACACAGGTCAAAATAATGAAGTCATATATTTTAAACATTTCAATTCATAAATCAGTGGCTTTTCATGTCTGTTGCACTAATCAATCAATATTTTTTCAGTTTTTACATTTTTCCTGCTGATTAAGCAAATTTTAATTTTACCCATAATGCAATGTGGGCGTGGCAGGTAAAGCAATGTTTAAGAAATTGATGAAGAAAGCCAAAAAAAAAGATACAAAATGAAGGTAACTTTGTAATATATGTTCACTTAGTTCAAAGAGAGGCAATTATCTCTTCATTTTCCTTCAAAGGAAGTTTGTATATTGTTTTTCTGCCCTTTTTCTTTCCTGGCAGTTCTCTGCAAATGTGGCGTACAGTGGCAGCATACACAACAGCGGTACGTTTCTCATCTAGGGTGAATGTCATGTCGTGTATGTTGTCCCTGAGGTAAAAGTTTCCTTTTAAAACTTGCTGACCCTTCAAAGCTGTAAAGTTGTAGTCATTAGTATAGTCACTGTCAAGCTCTTTAACCCCTTCAGATGTGACCTTCAGGAGAAAGAAATCGTACATCGGGTCATCATCAGCAGCAATTGCTACAGTGCTCCCCTTCACAGCAAGGTCTGCTATGTGGCCTGCAGTGTCATGGTCAAGGATGCTAGTTTCTGTTGCTTGCCTTGTAGCTGCCACTGAACCATCTCTGCAGATTGAGACCTCTTTCCAGTCATCCAGCCAAGCCTTGCTAGCACAGTTCTCCTCATCCTCAACAATACAGTTGTCACAGTAGCAGGACCTGTACCTCACCAAAACCTTTTCTTGCTGGGGTAAAGACTTCACACAATGCCATTTCCTTA